GTAGGGTATTATATAGTACTGTAGTTCCAAGAGAGTATACAGTAGGGTACTATAGTACTGTAGTCCTAAGAGAGTATAGAGTAGGGTACTATAGTACTGCAGTCCTAAGAGAGTATACAGTAGGGTACTATAGTACTGTAGTCCTAAGAGAGTATACAGTAGGGTTCTATAGTACTGCAGTTCTAAGAGAGTATACAGTAGGGTACTATAGTACTGCAGTCCTAAGAGAGTATACAGTAGGGTACTATAGTACTGCAGTCCTAAGAGAGTATACAGTAGGGTACTATAGTAAGTAGCCCTAAGAGAGTATACAGTAGGGTACTATAGTACTTCAGTCCTAAGAGAGTATACAGTAGGGTACTATAGTACTGCAGTCCTAAGAGAGTATACAGTAGGGTACTATAGCACTGTAGTTCCAATAGAGTATACAGTAGGGTAATATAGTAAGTAGCCCTAAGAGAGTATACAGTAGGGTACTATAGTAAGTCGCCCTAAGAGAGTATACAGTAGGGTACTATAGTACTGTAGCCCTAAGAGAGTATACAGTAGGGTACTATAGTAAGTAGCCCTAAGAGAGTATACAGTAGGGTACTATAGTAAGTAGCCCTAAGAGAGTATACAGTAGGGTACTATAGTACTGTAGCCCTAAGAGAGTATACAGTAGGGTACTATAGTACTGCAGTCCTAAGAGAGTATACAGTAGGGTACTATAGTACTGCAGTCCTAAGAGAGTATACAGTAGGGTACTATAGTAAGTAGCCCTAAGAGAGTATACAGTAGGGACTATAGTAAGTAGCCCTAAGAGAGAATACAGTAGGGTAATATAGTAAGTAGTCCTAAGAGAGTATACAGTAGGGACTATAGTAAGTAGCCCTAAGAGAGTATACAGTAGGGTACTATAGTAAGTAGTCCTAAGAGAGTGGAGAATGAGAGGTTGGACTCAGAATAAAAGATCAAGGACAGTCAGAGACAGTTTAACTTCTTGGGGAAGTTCTCCTGTCCGCTGAGTGTCCTCATCTCTGTTCTAAGTGGTAGAACCTTTATGTTACATCACACATCACAGGAGGTTTCCTGCTTCACTAACCCACCTGCGCCCAAAACATGACATTCCAGTCAACCGCTAAATGGTTTAGGTGCCAGCTGTTGACTATACTTTTCTGCTAAATTGATCAAAATCCTCCAAGGTATACTGCAGTGATTTTCACTTGGAGAGTAGTCTGTCTGACCTCTCAATTCCTTGTCTCTAAAAGTATTGGAGGTGTCATTAGTCATGCATCATTGCATCACCAGTAATACTACTCAGAACTGGTTTGAACTAGAGGTTATACCACCAGTAATACTACTCAGAACTGGTTTGATCTAAAGGTTATACCACCAGTAATACTACTCAGAACTGGTTTGAACTAGAGGTTATACCAGCAGTAGTACTACTCAGAACTGGTTTGAACTAGTGGTTATACCACCAGTAATACCACTCAGAACTGGTTTGAACTAGAGGTTAAACCACCAGTAATACTACTCAGAACTAGTTTGAACTAGAGGTTATACCACCAGTAGTACTACTCAGAACTGGCTTGAACTAGTGGTTATACCACCAGTAATACCACTCAGAACTGGTTTGAACTAGAGGTTAAACCACCAGTAATACTACTCAGAACTAGTTTGATCTAGAGGTTATACCACCACTGACAGAACAGAGCTTTACACATATTACTTCCTCACAGGCACAAGAAAAACTTTTCCTTCAACTCCAAAAGGACTGGTGGAAAGCAGTTGGATGTGAATGTTTAGTTGTATCACACAGAGTGAATGTTTAGTTGTATCACACAGAGTGAATGTTTAGTTGTATCACACAGAGTGAATGTTTAGTTGTATCACACAGAGTGAATATTTAGTTGTATCATCATTTCTCTCCTTTCTCCTGTCATACAAACTGGGTCAGGCAAACATGCAGGCACTCACACACTCATGCAGGCACTCACACACTCATGCAGACACTCACACACTCATATAGGCACTCACACACTCAGGCACACACTCACACACTCAGGCACACACTCACACACTCAGGCAGGCACTCACACACTAATGCGGGCACATTGAGAACTTACTCCTCATTTTCATACAGGTATTTTACCATCACCCAGGGCACCAGGAAGATCAGAGGGGCACCTGCAGAGAGAATCAAATTAAACACACCAAGACTCAAAACTCATATACTACCACTCTGTATCCTGAGACTGACTATATCTCTAATATATCTACTACCTAACCCAGAGGCTGACTATATCTCTACTATCTCTACTACCTAACCCTGATGCTGACTATATCTCTACTATATCTACTACCTAACCCTAACCCTGATGCTGACTATATCTCTAATATATCTACTACCTAACCCTAACCCTGAGGCTGACTATATCTCTAATATCTCTACTACCTAACCCTAACCCTGAGGCTGACTATATCTCTAATAGCTCTACTACCTAACCCTGATGCTGACTATATCTCTAATATCTCTACTACCTAAGCCTAACGCTGAGGCTGACTATATCTCTAATATCTCTACTACCTAACCCTGAGGCTGACTATATATCTACTATCTCTACTACCTAAGCCTAACCCTGAGGCTGACTATATCTCTAATATCTCTACTACCTAACCCTGAGGCTGACTATATCTCTAATATATCTACTACCTAACCCTAACCCTGAGGCTGACTATATCTCTAATATCTCTACTACCTAACCCTGAGGCTGACTATATCTCTACTATCTCTACTACCTAACCCCGAGGCTGACTATATCTCTACTATCTCTACTACTTAATCCTGAGGCTGATAATATCTCTAATATATCTACTACCTAACCCTAACCCTGAGGCTGACTATATCTCTAATATCTCTACTACCTAACCCTGAGGCTGACTATATCTCTAATATCTCTACTACCTAACCCTAACCCTGAGGCTGACTATATCTCTAATATCTCTACTAGTCCCATGTAGCTCAGTTGGTAGAGCATGGCGCTTGCAACGCCAGGGTTGTGGGTTCGATTCCCACAGGGGACCAGTATGAAAATGTATGCACTCACTAACTGTAAGTCGCTCTGGATAAGAGTGTCTGCTAAATGACTAAAATGTAAAATGTAAATGTACCTAACCCTAACCCTGAGGCTGACTATATCTCTAATGTCTGTACTACCTAACCCTAACCCTGAGGCTGACTATATCTCTAATATCTCTACTACCTAACCCTGAGGCTGACTATATCTCTAATATATCTACTACCTAACCCTGAGGCTGACTATAACTCTAATATCTCTACTACCTAACCCTAACCCTGAGGCTGACTATATCTCTAATATATCTACTACCTAACCCTGAGGCTGACTATATCTCTAATATCTCTACTACCTAACCCTGAGGCTGACTATATCTCTAATATCTCTACTACCTAACCCTGAGGCTGACTATAACTCTAATATCTCTACTACCTAACCCTGAGGCTGACTATATCTCTAATATATCTACTACCTAACCCTGAGGCTGACTATATCTCTAATATCTCTACTACCTAACCCTGATGCTGACTACATCTCTAATATCTCTACTACCTAACCCTAACCCTGAGGCTGACTATATCTCTAATATATCTACTACCTAACCCTGAGGCTGACTATATCTCTAATATCTCTACTTCCTAACCCTGAGGCTGACTATATCTCTAATATCTCTAATACCTAACCCTGAGGCTGACAATATCTCTAATATCTCTACTACGTAACCCTAACCCTGAGGCTGACAATATCTCTAATATCTCTACTACGTAACCCTAACCCTGAGGCTGACAATATCTCTAATATCTCTACTACCTAACCCTAACCCTGAGGCTGACTATATCTCTAATATCTCTACTACCTAACCCTGAGGCTGACAATATCTCTAATATCTCTACTACCTAACCCTGATGCTGACTATAACTCTAATATCTCTACTACCTAACCTTAACCCTGAGGCTGACTATATCTCTAATATATCTACTACCTAACCCTGAGGCTGACTATATCTATAATATCTCTACTTCCTAACCCTGAGGCTGACTATATCTCTAATATCTCTACTACCTAACCCTGAGGCTGACAATATCTCTAATATCTCTACTACGTAACCCTAACCCTGAGACTGACAATATCTCTAATATCTCTACTACGTAACCCTAACCCTGAGGCTGACAATATCTCTAATATCTCTACTACCTAACCCTAACCCTGAGGCTGACTATATCTCTAATATCTCTACTACCTAACCCTGAGGCTGACAATATCTCTAATATCTCTACTACGTAACCCTAACCCTGAGGCTGACAACATCTCTAATATCTCTACTACCTAACCCTAACCCTGAGGCTGACTATATCTCTAATATCTCTACTACCTAACCCTAACCCTGAGGCTGACAATATCTCTAATATATCTACTACCTAACCCTAAGCCTGAGGCTGACAATATCTCTAATATCGCTACTACCTAACCCTAACCCTGAGGCTGACTATATCTCTAATATCTCTACTACCTAACCCTAACCCTGAGGCTGACTATATCTCTAATATATGTACTACCTAACCCTGAGGCTGACTATATCTCTAATATATCTACTACTTAACCCTAACCCTGAGGCTGACTATATCTCTAATATCTCTACTACCTAACCTTAACCCTGAGGCTGACTATATCTCTAATATCTCTACTACCTAACCCTAACCCTGAGACTGACTATATCTCTAATATCACTACTACCTAACCCTGAGGCTGACTATATCTCTAATATATCTACTACCTAACCCTAACCCTGAGGTTGACTATATCTTTAATATGTCTACTCAGGTGTCCGGCTACCAAACAGATTACCAAATGCTCTATCTTCTGGTATATCATTTGCTGCTATGCTGCGACACACACGTACACCCCCCCCCCAACACACCCCCTTCCCCCACACACACCCTCCCCCTCCTCACCCCAGCCGATGCACAGGTAGATGTTGAAGTAGTTTTTCTCAGTGAACACGGTGATGACCAGCAGGTTATGGAGGTAGATGCCTTCCACCAGCAGCCAATAGCTGTTAGCCATGATACTGTACTGCATCATCACCACGGCGATACGACACCCCACCGCCGTCTACAGGACAACACACAGACGTTTCAAGACTTAACAAATCCTTTATATATAGTCCTTCAGTATGGCTAAACAATGCTTCAGAGATCATGCATCAGCGTTTCGAAAGGGCAGGAAGTTCAGCGTTATAGCAACAATCTCCCTGCTCCTATAGTCGCGGGCTCGGATTTGATGTCATCCTGTTCGTGTAGCCAGATGCTAAGAGGCAGGGGAGTTTTGCACATGGATGGTGCTTTATGGAACGATGAATAAAATAACAGAAGAGTGCCAACTCACCTCATTGCAGACCAGCCACTTTACCAGACCCTGGTCAACTCAACCCAACACACCCACCATGTTGTTGACCGACCACTTTACCTGACCACTTTTGACCACGACCCTTTCAGACAAGAACAACAACAACCCACCTGGTTGTTGACGAGCCACTCCACCTTGTAGTGTGTAATGTCCTGGTCCTGTCCGATGTTGACGCTGGGAGCCTCCAACATGGCGTCCTTTATCAGGATGGACAGAGCACGCAGGATGAAGGAGGCAAACAGGTTCATGTGGATGTTGTTCCTCATACAGTGGAGCTTCCTGTAGGGGGGGAGGGGCAGCGAGAGAGAGAGAGAGAGAGAGGGGGGGGGGGGGGGGGGTGTGGGGGGGGGGGTGGGTTTGAGAGATGTGATCATGCTTTTTTCATCGGCTCTCCTCTTCCTTCTCTCTACGGCTCTCTCTCTCTCCTCGCGACTCGAGCTATCTCTCGCTACATCGAACTCCGACTACTCGACGATCTCCTCCGCGTCGGCTAAGCCGTGCATGAATTGCGATAGGACGCAACACGTTATGTGAATGTTGTTCATCATACAGTGATACTTCCTGTTAGGGGGAAATGTAAACTACAGCAGAGGTAATATAACAAAGTTTAAAGGTCATAGAAATGGAATTAGAATATGTATATCTCTATGGTTACAGTCAATAGGTGCCCACATCAAGGTCAGTGGAGCTACCTTGCTTCACTAACATGTCCAAGGTTATACGTTATTAGAGCTGCTCTCTCTATTCAAATCAAAAATGTTCCATTGTCTTAGAAATATCTACCTTTCTACCTCAGTGAAGAGAAGAGGGTGGTGGTTGGCTGAGAGGTCATGTGTCTGGCTGTCTTTCTTTTCTCTTTAGGGTCATGAGGTGAAGGCTACCTGATCATGATGCCAAGCATTAACACCAGAGCCCCAAAGGGTGTCTCAGTGTCTGTGTGTCTCTGTGTGTGTGTCTCTGTGTGTGTGTCTCAGTGTCTGTGTGTCTCTGTGTGTGTGTGTCTCTGTGTGTGTGTGTCTCTGTGTGTGTGTGTGTGTCTGTCTGTGTGTCTCTGTGTGTGTGTCTCTGTGTGTGTGTGTCTCTGTGTGTGTGTCTGTGTGTCTCTGTGTGTGTGTCTCTGTGTGTGTGTGTGTGTGTGTGTGTGTGTCTGTGTGTCTCTGTGTGTGTCTCTGTGTGTCTGTGTGTGTGTGTGTCTCTTTGTGTGTGTGTGTGTGTGTGTGTCTGTTTGTTACCTGAAAGTGATCAGGACTCCGAGCGCTAACACCAGAGCCCCCAGAGACAGAGAGTAGCCCACGGTGTACATGGTCCGGAACTTCTTGAGGATCTGGCCATAGTGCTGCTACAAACACACACACACACACACACACACACACACACACACACACACACACACACACACACACACACACACACACACACACACACACACACACACACACACACACAAACACACACACATACAAACACACACACACACACACACAAACACACACACACACACACACATACACACACACACACACAAACACACACACACACACACACTCGCACATTGAGAAACAATAACATACACTGCATTTGGAAAGTATTCAGACCCCTTGACTTTGTTACATTACAGCCTTATTCTAAAATTGATTAAATAAATAAAAATCCTCATCAAACTACACACAATACCCCATAATGACAAAGCGAAAACAGGTTGTTAGAAATGTTTGTAAAATTATTACAAATCAAAAACATAAATATTACATTTACATAAGTATTCAGACCCTTTGCTATGAGACTCGAAATTGAGCTCAGGTGCATCCTGTTTCCATTGATTATCCTTGAGATGTTTCTACAACTTGATTGGAGTCCACCTGTGGTAAATTCAATTGATTGGACATGATTTGGAAAGGCACACACCTGTCTACATAAGGTCCCACAGTTGACAGTGCATGTCAGAGCAAAAACCAAGCCATGAGGTCGAAGGAATTGTCAGAGAGGATTGTGTCGAGGCACAGATCTGGGGAAGGGTACCAAAATATGTCTGCAGCATTGAAGGTCCCCAAGAACACAGTGGCCTCCATCATTCTTAAATGGAAGAGTTTGGAACCACCAAGACTCTTCCTAGAGCTGGCCTCCCGGCCAAACTGAGCAATCGGGGGAGAAGTGCCTTGGTCAGGGAGGTGACCAAGAACCCGATGGTCACTCTGACAGTGCTCTAGAGTTCCTCTGTGGAGATGGGAGAACCTTACAGAAGGACAACCATCTCTGCAGCACTCCACCAATCAGGCCTTTATGGTAGAGTGGCTAGACGGAAGCCACTCCTCAGTAAAATGCACATGACAGCCCGCTTGGAGTTTGCCAAAAGGCACCTAAAGGATTCTCAGACCATGAGAAACAAGATTCTCTGGCCTGATGAAACCAAGATCGAACTCTTTGACCTGAATGCCAAGCGTCACGTCTGGAGGAAACCTGGTGAAGCATGGTGGTGGCAGCTTCAAGCTGTGGGGATGTTTTTCAGCGGCAAGGAGTGGGAGACTAGTTAGGATTGAGGGAAAGATGAACGGAGCAAAGTAAAGAGAGATCCTTGATGAAAACCTGCTCCAGAGCACTCAGGACCTCAGACTGGGGCGAAGGTTCACCTTCCAACAGGACAACGACCCTAAGCACACAGCCAAGACAACGCAGGAGTGGCTTTGGGACAAGTCTCTGAATGTCCTTGAGTGGCCCATCCAGAGCCCGGACTTGAACCCGATCAAACATCTCTGGAGAGACCTGAAAATAGCTGTGCGGCGACGCTCCCCATCCAACCTGACAGAGCTTGAGAGGATCTGCAGAGAAGAATGGGAGAAACACCCCAAATACAGGTGTGCCAAGCTTGTAGCGTCATACCCAAGAAGACTCTAGGCTTTAATTGCTGCCAAAGGTGCTTCAACAAAGTACTGACTAAAGGGTTTGAATACTTATGTAAATGTGATATTTCTGTTGTTTTTGTGTTTTTATTGTGCAAAAATTTCTAAAAACCAGTTTTTGCTTTGTCATTATGGGGTATTGTGTGTAGATTGATGAGGGAAATTTAATAAATTTTAGAATAAGGCAGTAACCTAACAAAATGTGGAAAAAGTCTAGGTGTCTGATTACTTTCCGAAGGCACTGTACATTTAGCCTACACACCTGAGTACACTCACACTGATCACAAACATTAATCAATTCTATACATCCTTTCCTTCATATCTATATCCATGATATTTTATCCACAGCATTTCTAAGCCTCACTCACAAGAAACATAATTTTCACCTGAGCAGGATCATTAGCGTCACACTCGCTAGTGTTCTTCTGGGGAACCCACTGTCCGTCCGCGTCACATTCCCTGTACACCGATCCATGCTGGACTGGAACACATACATACAGATAGACTGTCATTCACTGACCGAAGCATATTTATTACCCTTCACACCACCTATCATACTAACTTGACAGAAGCTTCAGATATTTGACTGAATTTGGTATTTATAGAACATGATACACAAGTTATTCACCAATCAGCCAACCAACCAATCAATCACCATCAACCTTCACCTTGGTGGTGCCAGGGCAGGTACCAGGGACAGGACACACTGACGGTAGTGTTGGGGAGTCCATCGGGCCAGCAGGCATACATGTCAAAGGTCCTGTTACACATCACACCTATAGGGAACAGTTACAACACATCTCTTATCTCTATCACTCCATCCCTCTATCCTCTATCCTCTATCCCTCTATCCCTCTATTCTCTATCCCTCTATCCCTCTATCCCTCTATCCCTCTATCCTCTATCCCTCTATCCCTCTATCCCTCTATCCCTCTATCCCTCTATCCCTCTATCCCTCTATTCTCTATCCCTCTATACTATATCCCTCTATCCCTCCATCCCTCTATCCTCTATCCCTCTATCCCTCTATTCTCTATCCCTCTATCCCTCTATCCTCTATCCCTCTATCCCTCTATCCCTCTATCCCTCTATCCCTCTATCCTCTATCCCTCTATACTATATCCCTCTATCCCTCCATCCCTCTATTCTCTATCCCTCTATCCCTCTATCCCTCTATACCTCTATCTCTCTATACCTCTATCACTCCATACCTCTATCACTCCATAGCTCTATCACTCCATACCTCTATCACTCTATACCTCTATCACTCTATACCTCTATCACTCTATCCCTCTATCCTCTATCCCTCTATCCTCTATCCCTCTATCCTCTATCCCTCTATCCTCTATCCCTCTATCCCTCTATCACTCCATCTCTATACTCTATCCCTCTGTGCTCTATTCTATATCCTTCTATCCTATATCCCTATATCCCTCTGTGCTTTGTGCTCTGTGCTCTATTCTCTATCCTCTATCCCTCTGTGCTCTATTCTCTATTCTCTATACCTCTATCCTCTATCCCTCTGTGCTCTATCCCTCTATCCTCTATCCCTCTGTGCTCTATTCTCTATCCTCTATCCTCTATCGTCTGTGCTCTATTCTCTTATCTCTATCCCTCAGTGCTCTATTCTCTATTGTCTATCCCTCTGTGCTCTATCCTCTATCCCTCTGTGCTCTATTCTCTATGCTCTATCCCTCTATCCTCTATCCCTCTGTGCTCTATTCTCTATGCTCTATCCCTCTATCCTCTATCCCTCTGTGCTCTATTCTCTGTCCTCTATCCTCTACCCGTCTGTGCTCTATTCTCTATCCCTCTATCCTCTATCCCTCTGTGCTCTATCCTCTATCCTCTATCCCTCTGTGCTCTATTCTCTATCCTCTATCCTCTATCCGTCTGTGCTCTATTCTCTATCCCTCTATCCTCTATCCCTCTGTGCTCTATCCTCTATCCCTCTGTGCTCTATCCTCTATCCCTCTGTGCTCTATTCTCTATCCCTCTATCCCTCTGTGCTCTATATTCTATCCCTCTATTCCTGTGTGAGTGTGTGTGTGTGTGTGTGTGGTGTGTGTGAGTGTGTGTGTGTGTGTGTGTGTGCGTGCATGTGTGCAGGCGTGTGCATGTGTTTCTCACCAGTGAGTGCCGGTTCTCTGCTGTTATTGCGGCTACACTCCTCCGTGTACATCACCCATCTCTGCATCAACGCCTTTAATGGCTTAGCTGGGGACACCTGGGGGACAGACAGACAGACAGACAGACAGGCAGAGAGACAGACAGACAGACAGACAGAGAGAGACAGACAGGCAGAGAGACAGAGAGACAGAGAGACAGAGACAGAGAGACAGAGAGACAGACAAACAGACAGACAGACAGACAGACAGACAGACAGACAGACAGACAGACAGACAGACAGACAGACAGACAGACAGACAGACAGACAGAGACAGACAGAGAGACAGACAGACAGAGAGACAGACAGACAGAGAGACAGACAGACAGAGAGAGAGAGACCATGAGACAGACAGGCAGACAGGCAGACAGACAGAGACAGAGAGGCAGGGCGTGTTTAGACTACAACACTCTCTGCCACACAGGGCCCGTTCTCAGAGGGTAATTCTGCCATGTAAAAACCCATGTGTCTCTCCCCAACACTCTAAACACCAGTCACTTTCAGGACTGGGGGTGGCTGGCTTCCCATGTCTGAATGGCGCCCTACAGAGGGACTCACTGCTAGGCTGCATTCTGTTGACAGGACAATGAATGACGCATCCATTGGAATCCTTAGAAGGATCCAACGTGTCAATTAGCTTCCAGAGAAGGTCAATTAATTCCTCTTCCAAAGCATCAAAGGTGGAGTGTTGCGTAATGTCGTGGGTATGTTATTGGGTGTTCTTCTTTGTCTGCCAGCGTGTCTGCCTGCCTGTGTGTGTGTGTGTGTGTGTGTGTGTGTGTGTACAGTACCAGTCAAAAGTTTTAGGACACCTACTCATTCAAGGGTTTTTCTTTATTTTTACAATTTTCTACATTGTAGAATAATAGTGAAGACATCAAAACTATGAAATAACACATAGAATCATGTAGTAACCAAAAAAGTGTTAAACAAATCAAAATATATTTTAGATTTTAGATTCTTCAAAGTAGCCACCCTTTGCCTTGATGACAGCTTTGCACTTGAATGAGTAGGTGTGTCTAAACTTTTGACTGGTACTGTATATCTGAGTGTGTGTTCCGGCCTCACTTGGATGCTGGAGGAGACTGTGAGCAGCGTGAGCAGGAGGAAGCCCCGTGACATCCCTTAGTCCTGCTGCCTGGTGGAGGGTCGCTGCGTGAGGGGCGCTGGGGGACTGGCCAGGGGTCAGGGGTCAACTCAACCTCACCTCATAGGAGGGCTTTACCTGGGAACCACTCTACCTGGTGACACAGAGAGGGGGAGGAGTCACACACACAGCTATGTCTTACTATATTTGTAAGGACCTTTTTACATTTTTTAAATTATATTTTCTCTAACTCCTAACCCTAGACCTAACCCTAACCCAAACATTAACCCTAAACCTAACCCCTAAGCCTAAAATAGTGAGGACCGGCAAAATGTCCTCTCTTCTCTGAATTGTAGTTGGTTTACTATTCTTGTGAGGACCTTTGGTACTCACAATTATAGTAAAACGTGTACACACACACACACACAATGAACAACCCACTTGCTGTATAATCAAACCGACACACACATAACAATTGAATTGAAACAAACAGGAAAAGCACTTGTCCATTTATTATAGAACTCCAGTCTAGGTGTGACAGTTACTCATTAGCTAGATGGGGTCTATATCTGGCTGCTGACCAGCTGTGGTGACAGACAGTGGAACTCCTAGGAGCTCCATGGAACACCACTTGAATTCTGAAAAAGAACTCTCCCTGACCTCACAGCGCTGGGCTCTACACACACACACACACACACACACACACACACACACACACACACACACACACACACACACACACACACACACACACACACACACACACACACACACACACACACACACACACACACACACACACACACGACAGCCCTCAGTGCTCAGCCAGACCACTCTGCTTCTGTTTACACTCTACATCATGCTGCACTAGGCCTAATTAGAGAGGAGAGAAAGGGGGAGAGGAAGAGAGAGGAGAGAGAGAGGGATTTATTTTCCATTTTGTACTTTAACTATTTGCACATTGTTACAACACTGTATTTAGACATAAAATGACATTATAAATGTCTTTATTCTTTTGGAACTTTAGTGAGTGTAATGTTTACTTTTCATTTTTTTATTGTTTATTTCACTTGCTTTGGCAATGTAAACTTATGTTTCCCATACCAATAAAGCCCTTAAATTGAAATTGAATTGAGTGAGAGACACAGAGGGCGAGAGAGAGAGAGAGAGAGAGAGAGAGAGAGAGACTCTTTGTCTTAGTGTAATGAGACATCCTCATTACACTAAAAAGACCGCAAACCCACCTCCATAAAAATGCATGACGTGAGACCCCAACCTCCACACAATCACAACACAACAACACAGTACATTACAATCCACCCTCCAGCACCACATTACAACCGTACATCCAACCCCTCCTCTCCAGCCGTACAGACAGCCCCCCTGAGCCCCCCGATCTCCTGAAACATCTCCACACTATTAATCATTTTATAATACTCAAATTGAACCCTAAGGCACACAGAGCGAAAGAGAAAGAGAGAGAGAGAAGAGAGTGAGAGAATTAACAAAAAAACAGAGCAAACTAGAATGCTATTTGGCCCTGAACAGAGAGTACACAGTGGCAGAATACCTGACCACTGTTACTGACCCAAAATTAAGGAAAGCTTTGACTATGTACAGACTCAGTGAGCATAGCCTTGCAATTGAAAAAGGCAGCCGTAGGCAGACCTGGCTCTCAAGAAAAGACAGGCTACAGTGGGGGAAAAAAGTTTTTAGTCAGCCACCAATTGTGCAAGTTCTCCCACTTAAAAAGATGAGAGAGGCCTGTAATTTTCATCATAGGTACACGTCAACTATGACAGACAAATTGAGAAAAAAAACTCCAGAAAATCACATTGTAGGATTTTTTATGAATTGATTTGCAAATTATGGTGGAAAATAAGTATTTGGTCACCTACAAACAAGCAAGATTTCTGGCTCTCACAGACCTGTAACTTCTTCTTTAAGATGCTCCTCTGTCCTCCACTCGTTACCTGTATTAATGGCACCTGTTTGAACTTGTTATCAGTATAAAAGACACCTGTCCACAACCTCAAACAGTCACACTCCAAACTCCACTATGGCCAAGACCAAAGAGCTGTCAAAGGACACCAGAAACAAAATTGTAATCCTGAACCAGGCTGGGAAGACTGAATCTGCAATAGGTAAGCAGCTTGGTTTGAAGAAATCAACTGTGGGAGCAATTATTAGGAAATGGAAGACATACAAGACCACTGATAATCTCCCTCGATCTGGGGCTCCACGCAAGATCTCACCCCATGGGGTCAAAATGATCACAAGAACAGGGAGCAAAAATCCCAGAACCACACGGGGGGACCTAGTGAATGACCTGCAGAGAGCTGGGACCAAAGTAACAAAGCCTACCATCAGTAACACACTACGCCGCCAGGGACTCAAATCCTGCAGTGCCAGACGTGTCCCCCTGCTTAAGCCAGTACATGTCCAGGCCCGTCTGAAGTTTGCTAGAGTGCATTTGGATGATCCAGAAGAGGATTGGGAGAATGTCATATGGTCAGATGAAACCAAAATAGAACTTTTTGGTAAAAACTCAACTCGTCGTGTTTGGAGGACAAAGAATGCTGAGTTGCATCCAAAGAACACCATACCTACTGTGAAGCATGGGGGTGGAAACATCATGCTTTGGGGCTGTTTTCTGCAAAGGGACCAGGACGACTGATCCGTGTAAAGGAAAGAATGAATGGGGCCATGTATCGTGAGATTTTGAGTGAAAACCTCCTTCCATCAGCAAGGGCATTGAAGATGAAACGTGGCTGGGTCTTTCAGCATGACAATGATCCCAAACACACCGCCTGGGCAACGAAGGAGTGGCTTCGTAAGAAGCATTTCAAGGTCCTGGAGTGGCCTAGCCAGTCTCCAGATCTCAACCCCATAGAAAATCTTTGGAGGGAGTTGAAAGTCCGTGTTGCCCAGCGACAGCCCCAAAACATCACTGCTCTAGAGGAGATCTGCATGGAGGAATGGGCCAAAATACCAGCAACAGTGTGTGAAAACCTTGTGAAGACTTACAGAAAACGTTTGACCTGTGTCATTGCCAACATAGGGTATATATCAAAGTATTGAGAAACTTTTGTTATTGACCAAATACTTATTTTCCACCATAATTTGCAAATCAATTCATTAAAAATCCTACAATGTGATTTTCTGGATTTTTTCCCCTCATTTTGTCTGTCATAGTTGAAGTGTACCTATGATGAAAATTACAGGCCTCTCTCATCTTTTTAAGTGGGAGAACTTGCATAATTGGTGGCTGACTAAATACTTTTTTCCCCCACTGTATGTGCACACTACCCACAAAATGAGGTGGAAACTGAGCAGCACTTCCTAACCTCCTGCCAAATATATGACCATATTAGAGACACATATTTCCCCTAAATTCACAGCCCCCACAAAGTTTTTTCGAAAACAAATCCAATTTTTGATAAACTCCCATATCTATTGGGTGAAAAACCCACGGTGTGCAATCAAAACAACCATGAAAAAAAAACACCATTGTAATACAACCCTTTTTGTTTACTTTAACTATTTCACAAAATTTGACTTTGAATGTTTTATTCTTTAGGAACTTTTGTGATTGTAATTTTACTGTAATTTTATAGTTTTATTTAACTTTTTTTTATTATCCTACTTCCTCCTTTGGCAAGTTAACATATTTTTCCCATCCCAAAAAAGCCCGTAAATTTTAAAATTGAGAGAGAAGAGAGAGGAAGAAGAAAAGCGAGAAAAAAAAAATAGGGATCCTTTTTAAGTATAGAGAAGGGAGAAAAGAGAGATAGAGGAAAGAAAATCTTGCCTTTTTTTTTTTCCCTTTTCCTTTTGGTTTTTCCTTCGTTCGGGTCTTTTTTTTTTTCGTTTTCTTTCTTTTTAATAGCTTAATTTTCTCTTTGAGGAACCCATACAGAATGACCACCCCTACAGGTTTATTGTGGGGGGGGTTGGGGGGTCGCCCCCACAACCAAAAAGGGAAAAAAAAAAAAAACCACGGAAGGGGGAAAATAAAAAAAGGGGAGGGGGGGTGCAGGGTTACATGTCCCCAAAACAAGACAAAATTTTTAAGGTTTGGGGGGGACCCCAACACGACCACAAGCCAAAACACCCCCTTTAAAATCCGGGGGGTTCCCAAATGGCTATATATTGCATAAATTTGAAAATAGGTCTGTAATAGTTTCCATTTTGGGCGCAGACCCCGTTTGTCTCATTAGTCAGTCAGTCAGACAGTTAGAAATTGCATTCCTGTTTTCTCATTAGTCAGTCAGACAGTTAGTAGTGCATTCCTGTTTTTTCTCATTAGACAGTCAGACAGTTAGTAGTGCATTCCTGTTTGTCTAAATTAGTCAGTCAGACAGTTAGTAGTGCTTTTCCTGTTTGTCTCATTAGACAGTCAGACAGTTATTTAGTGCATTCCTGTTTGTCTCATTAGTCAGTCGGGACAGTTGTAGTGATTCCTGTTTGTCTCATTAGCCCAGTCAACAGTTAGTAGTGCATTCCTGTTTTTCTCATTAGTCATCAGACAGTTAGTATTTGCATTCCTGTTTGTCTCATTGTCGTTCAGTCAGACAGTTAGTAGTGCTTTCCCTTGTTTGTCTCATTAGTCAGTCAGACAGTTAGTATGCACTTTGTTTGTCTCATTAGTCAGTTCAGACATTAGTAGTGCATTCCTTTTTTCCTCATTAGCCCAGTCAGACAGTTAGTATGCATTCCTGTTTGTTTCATTAGTCAGTCAGACAGTTAGTAGTGCATTCCTGTTTGTCTCATTAGTCAGTCAGCCCGTTAGTAGTGCATTCCTGTTTGTCTCATTAGTCAGTCAGACAGCTAGTATTGCATTCATGTTTGTCTCATTAGACAGTCAACAGTTAGTAGTGCATTCCTGTTTTGTCTCATTAGTCAGTCAACAGTTAGTAGTGCATTCCTGTTTGTCTCATTAGACAGTCAGACAGTTAGTAGTGCATTCCTGTTTGTCTCATTAGTCAGTCAGACAGTTAGTAGTGCATTCCTGTTTGTCTCATTAGACAGTCAGACAGTTAGTAGTGCATT